TTAGAAGCGATGACTAATCGTGTTTATCCACAAGAAGCCAAGGCTGCACAAACTTTCAATGCTCAAGTTCCAGGTTTGTCCTTTATTTCTTTCTTTGTTATTCGAAAACCCTTCTAAAAATTTAATAAAGCTTCTTTGTCCCTATACAAAGTAAGTCTAGCTTAACAGCAACACTAATACTTTATTCAAATATTTTTTTAAGAAATTTTAACATAACTGTCATAAATTTTTAAGATGAAAAGCATAATTAAGTATGATTCTCAGGTATACAAGTGCATGATGAGGCAGGTCAGTCAGAATCTCTTCCGCAGTACCATCAAATCCCGGTCATTTTTTTAATTTAATTTTGTCTTTTATAGGCTTTGCTTTTAAAATCAGATATGTTTTTTAAGTAGAAAACAAATCTGATTTTGAACTTTTGATTATTGTCCAAGACTTTTTTCCTCTAATTGAAAACAACTAGCGGTTATAAGGTGCCGTGTACGGGTAATATAGTGGTGGATGAGCTTCTTTAATATTTGAAAATAAATAGCTTGTTATTATGGTGGAATAATTATTCTCCCAATATTTTAATTATTTTTAAAAATAACCAGCAATCACACAGCGCTAGGTACGGGGAATATGAGGCTGTATGTAATTTTTTATCCTTGAATGAATAGTAAATAAAGAGTTTTCTTCGTCAATTTTTTGTATTTCGGTAACAAAATAATATAGTAATAATTTCGGGGATTATGACGATGAATAAAATTGCTGGATTCTCGAGAGCACAATGAAGTTCTCTGTTATTTTCGTAGTGCGTGTTATCCTAATGCAGAAAGTAGTAGAGTGGTTCCTTTTTTTCATGGTTTCCTAATAAATTTTCAGTGACTTGTGGAAAAAAGGTATCAATATAGCTTTTAAAAGTTACCACCTCTCATTGCACCATCTTAAAAAAACAATTAACATTACTTTTATTGCTTCCCTCTATTGTGGCCTTAATTTAATAGATAAATAGATTTAATATATTAACAACCTCCGAGCTTCAGTCTCGACTGGTATTTTGTTCATTGGTCGTATCATAGAATCAAATAATATCTGTTAGAATTTTATGAAAAATGCTGTGGCTTCCTTTTCTTCAAATTTTCGAAGAAAATTTTGAATAAAAATCGTAGAACTCGTGGTACTTGTTTTTTTTTCTTGCATCTAACATGATTGCACATACTATTTGCGATACAGTCATAGTACTTTGTTCATCTTCATTAATTTTAAACTTCATCAGTCGAAGATTTGATTCATATCAAATCTAATTAAACTAGTTCTAGAAGGTGTTAAGTGATAGTGCATAGTATATATTAAACGTTTCCACAGATATAAGATTATGCAAAAATCTGTAAAGAATAGCAAATTGAATGTCATCATAGTAGAATGGTGTTCAAATGAGCATTGATTATTTGAAACTATCTACTATAAAGCTTCAAATTAAATATCACAATAATATGCCAAATCAGGTGGTGTACTTTGATTTATTGAAAGTTCTTCCTCATTGTAAACTAAACAAAATTTTGTTATGGAATTGCATATAACTGTCGAATATTGTTTTCCACTAAGAACAGGAGTTAAAATCTAGTAGTAAAATAAAGTAAAACTTTTGACCCTATATAGGTACATATAAGATTAATATTAATATTTTATTTTTATTTAATATATAATATTCAACGACTATTGTTAAGAGCTTGGCTCTTAATAGTTGGCGAGAAAGTAAACATATTACGTTCAATGAAAAATTGATTTGAAAAAATAATATTAAAAAAAATTATTCAATAATAGTATGTATCAACTTAAATATATAAGTAAAATATTTTTTAACGCACTAAAAGCAAATCAATTAT